ACAAAACAGCGCATTGATGATACCACCTAGCGCATTGATGATGCCACCTAGCACATTGATGATACCACCCAGTGCATTGATGATACCACCCAGCGCATTGATGATATCGCCTAGTGCATTGATGATACCACCTAGTGCATTGATGATACCACCTAGCGCATTGATGATACCACCTAGCACATTGATGATACCACCTAGTGCATTGATGATACCACCCAGCGCATTGATGATACAAAACAGCGCATTGATGATACCACCTAGCGCATTAATGATACCACCTAGCGCATTGATAATACCACCTAGTGCATTGATGATACCACCTAGCGCATTGCTGATTCACCTAGCACATTGATGATACCACCCAGCACATGGATGATACCACCTAGCGCATTGATACCACCTATAGTGCATTGATGATACCACCTAGCGCATTGATGATACAACCTAGCGCATTGCTGATTCACCTAGTGCATTGATGATACCACCTAGCGCATTGATGATGCCATCTAACACACTGATGATACCACCCAGCGCATGGATGATACCACCTAGCGCATTGATGATACCACCCAGCGCATTGATGATACAACCCAGCGCATTGATGATACCACCTAGCGCATTAATGATACCACCTAGCGCATTGATAATACCACCTAGCGCATTGATGATACCACCTAGCGCATTGATGATACCACCTAGAGCATTGATGATTCAACTAGCGCATTGATGATACCACCTAGCGCATTGATACCACCTAGTGCATTGATGATACCACCTAGCGCATTGATGATACAACCTAGCGCATTGCTGATTCACCTAGTGCATTGATGATACCACCTAGCGCATTGATGATGCCACCTAGCACATTGATGATACCACCCAGCGCATGGATGATACCACCTAGCGCATTGATGATACCACCTAGCACATTGATGATACCAATAAGCAGTATCAACACTACGAACTCCGCCACACAAGATGTATTATTCGAAAACGTGTCATTCCATCTTGACCTCTGGCGCGCATTGATGGTGCCACCTAGCGCATTGATGATGCCACCTAGCGCATTGATAATACCACCTAGAGCATTGATGATACCACCTAGCGCATTGATGATACCAACTAACGCATTGATGATGCCACCTAGTGCATTGATGATACAACCTAGCACATTGATGATACCACCTAGCGCATTGATGATGCCACCTAGCACATTGATGATACAACCTAGTGCATTGATGATGCCACCTAGCGCATTGATGATACCTAGCGCATTGATGATACCACCTAGCACATTGATGATACAACCTAGTGCATTGATGATACCACCCAGCACATTGATGAT